CTACCTTTAGCCTCGGCGAGAAGGTCGTCTCTGCCACACAGCCTGTGGGAAGACCTCACACTTGCCACTTACATGTTTATTCCACAAACTGCTTTTGACCTCTGATGCTCTGGGTGCCGGCTGAGGCAGCCAGGCGGGAGCTCGCCTGCACCTGTGAAGCCTGGTGACCCAAACCTCATTCCTGGAAGGAGCTGAGGTCATGCAGAGGCATCGTGCTTGGGGGCAGGTGTTCTCTGAGCACTGAAGCCCCACACGCTATAAGTGGAGCAGGTGGCCCCTGCCCTGCCGTGTCAGGAGGGGCCAATTTGCCTCTCTGGCAAACATGCCCCTACAATGTTGACAGACACTTCTGGAAAAGGGCTCTGTCCCAACCCTACCTGTCTGTCTACAGAACACCAAGGGCTCTACGGCCACTGCTTTCGGTAACAGAACTTGAAACTGGAGAAACTGAGGCTGAGAAGACAGACACTTGTCAAGGGCACGCAGATGAGGCAGGGTCCCCCTCTGGGAAAGGGGATCCTGCGTCTCTCTCTTTCTGTGTTCTCCTTCCTTCCCCGGGGCACCTGGTAACCAGTCCTCCCTCCCTGGCCAGCCCCTACCCACCCCGAGGACAGGGACCAGCTGTGAGAGGATGAGGGGCGTGTGGGCTCTGTCTCCTAGAGGCTGCATTTCAGAGAGATGCAGGTCGACCCCTCAAGGGCCTCAGTTTCCTTTTGGTAAACCGACAGGCAGCATGTATGCGTGCGTGTGTTTGTGTGTGTGTGTGGGGGGGTCTGGTGACCTGCGATTTGGGAAGGACTCTGAAGAAACCAAGTGTGTTGGGGTGGCCTCAGGGGGCCTGTCCTCGGTGCCGTAGGTGACCCTGAAGGAACAGGACAGGAGGGCCGGCCCCTCGGAGCAGCATCTGGCATGCCTAACAGAATGCTTGGCCCTGAGGGCAGGGCTGGAGCCTGCTGGGGTTGAGGGTGGAAAGAGGAGGAGGGGGAAGGAAGAGGTTCCAGGCCGGGGAGGCCTGCTCAGCTTGGGGCAAGGACTCAGGGATTAAACCCTGGGGGTAGTTGGAGGTGCTGAGGGGAGCTGGGGTGGCCAGCTGCATCCACCTTCTGGGTCTGCTGTGGCCAGGAAGCCAGGGGAGGAGACGCCAAGAAACCTCCCTTAAGGAGGGGGTCTGGGGTCTCTGCACCAAACATCAGTTTGCAAGGGCGTTGGGGCACCCAGCAGGGCAGGCCGCATTCTGTGTGTGCCCTGGGGTCCTCCTGGTCCCCGAGAGGCCACCCGGCCAGCAGGTGGAAGTGGGGACGCGTTTTCGGCCCACTGGGCTACGTGGTGAGCCCAGGCCCATGGGAGAAGCCACGGCTATTGCGATGTTGGGGGCACAGGAAGTGAAGCGAACCCACGCCCCTCCCCTCCCCAGCGCCTTCATCTGCGGCCCCTGCCACAGTGAGCTCAGAGGAATCGCATGGGAGGCGGCAGGCCAAGGCTGTGGTGTGGATGTGCAAGCTGCCCCTAGGGTGGGCGGGGCTAAGGGATGGCGATGGCGCGAATGGGCGGGGGGGGGGGAGTGGGCGTGGCTGCGCTGCGGGGTGCAGGTCTTGGTGTATCTGGGGGTATGTGGTGGCCTAGGGTGCTTGTGCCACCTGCTTTGCCAGGTTCCTGGCCACGCTGAAAACAGTTCCAGAAGAGGGGCACTGTGGCGTGCAGAGCCTGGTGTGCAAAGAAATGCAAAAGCAATTGTCCTTGCTCAGAAAGAGTCAAGAATTTCAGCATGGGTACCCAAAGCGCTAAACTTGTTGTGGGCTTGTGTGTGTGTGGGTGTGTGGGGCCTGCTTGGATGTGTGTGTGTGTGTGTGTGTGTGTACACACGTGTGCATGTGCACATGTGCAGTGGTGTTCCTGGGTGACTCTTGAATACCTACTTGCGTGTGCACTTTTCTTCCAGCTTCAGGGATGGGTCCCACTGTGCCCACCTACCAAAGCAGAGGTGAGTTTTATTTTTGGCGCCTTTGCTGTGGTACCCATGGTGCCCTGGGGGCTTTGTTTGACTACCTTTGTTTGAAGAGTGACAAACACTTCCCTCCACCTGTTGCCACCGTGGCCCCACCAGAAACCACAGCTGGGGGTGGAGCAGCTTCCTCCCCTCTCCCCCAGCCCCGCACCCCTGCCAGCAGCGCCAGGCCCAGGGCCCTGCCTGGTGGGGACCCCACCCAGACAAGGGAGGAGGTAGAGGCCTAGAGAGGGAGGCAAACCCCCATCCTGGGCAGGGCCAGGACACCTGTGTGAGAAGCAAGGCCGGGACCCAAGGCGACTTTGACAGCGTGTGGCAAAGCCCTGGGCGTGCCCAGCTGCGAAGGGTGCCTCTCCTGGTAGATGAGGGCTCCGTCTGGTTGATTCCTCATCCTCTCTGCTCAGAGCTCTGCACCCTGCAAGTTCTGAGAGAGTCGGGCTGTGCCTGGCACCAGTTCTGGTACCCAAGGGGGGCCTCAGAAATACCTGGTGATGAATAAACAGCTATTTGGGTTAAGACCATGACAAGGTGGCCAAAGCAAGGATGCGGGAAGCCAGTGAGCCGTGGCGGACATTGCAGTGTGTCATCGGCCACTGGCTGCGTGACTTTGGCGGTCATCAACCTCCCTGAGCCCAGAGGAGGTGCTGCGCTCCCTGCTGTCCTTGGCACTAGCTGGTGCTCCAGAAACGTGGCAGTGGCCCCTCCATCCCTCAGAGTCTCTTCCCTGACACCTCCCGGCCTCTGATTGGCCAGCACTAACACAGAGAGAGGACATCAAGCAAGCTGTCTGGTCACTGGAACCACTTGAGACCTGGCAGGGACCACGCAACCCTCCCCTCCTGGCTTGAGATGTTCCTTTGCCCCAGGATGGGGCTCTGGAATGTTGGGGTGGGGGCTGATGTGGGACGTAGAGGAGTCTGGGCAGTGAGCTCCTGAGAGGCAAACTCAGCTGATCCCTCCACAGTGCCTGTGGAGAAGTCAGATGTGGGTCATGCACAGAGCCGGCAGCGAGCCTGGGTGAGCTGTGTCCTCTCTGGCCCAATGCTATCACACGCAGGCATTGGCCTGGAGTCGCAGGGCCCAGCCTGTTTTGTGGGCAGCGCTGTGTCTGTGTCCAGCTGAGCCCAGGACAATGGGTGCTGGGCACTGGGTCGGCCATGGGTGAGCTGGGCTGTCACACAGCTGCTCCACAGTGTAGGGGGTGGGGTGCTCTTTGGGGTGAAGAGAGGGGACCTTGTTATTTCCCTGGGGTTTTCTAAGGGCTCAGACCAGCTGACTATTGCTGCCCCTGTTCCCTGCCCCTGCCTAGGTTTGACCCTCAGCAGCACTACAGTGGCAAAAATCCAGTTTCTTTGGGCAGCTGGCCTTCCTCACTCGAAGCTGCCTCCGGCATGTCATGAATTATATGGGAATGGAATGGGTCTAGGGAATTTAACTTGATTGCTTTGAGGTTAGCAACTTTTTTTTCCGGTTTCCATTTCTTAAACATCTGCTAAATAAATGATTACCAACAAGGCTTATCTCCGGGTTTCTAAGGTTTTCTTCACCACCCCTTGAAAGTGGGTGGGTGCTCTTAGTCACCCCATTATACAGATCAGGAAACTGAGGCACTGACAGGCCACACTATCAGGCCAGGAAGGGGTGCTGGGATTTGGACTAGACTGTCTGGCAGTGGACTCTACCCCACTGCTGGCTGACATTCATTCTGGGCATCGTTTACCCAAATCCTCTGTGTTTTCCAGTTGAGAAATTTAAGACTCAGAGCAGTTGAGCAACAGCTGAAGGTCACACAGCTGGGGAGCAGCAGGGATGAGGGAGAGTTGGAGTCAGCCAAGGCTCCGGGGCTCTGCTCTCCACAGCCCTCCAGCTGCCGGGACTTGGGCTTCCAGAGCAAGTTTAAGCAATCTTCCTCCCTTCCCACGTCTCTCCTGGCACAGGAGTTCCTCCCACTGGGCCTCAGTTTCACCATCTAGAGCAGGCTGAGGTTGGCCCTGGGCCTCGGTGCTGGGATCTGGGAGGCGGGGTGCTGGTGGCTGAAAGGACTGTGCTGCCTGTAGGAATGAATGGGAAACTTTGTGAAACCCTAGATGGGCCTTGGGAACTGTGACCTTGGGGAGGTGGGGTGGGTGCATGACGCAGATGAGGAACCTGGGGACAGAGAAGGCTTGGGTGAGACTCCCGGGGTCCTTTCCTTCTTCCCAGGGGTCCCTCAAAGCCCAGAGCAAACATGTGAGAGATTGTACAGGGGAGAGAGGACCTGGCCAGTGTAGAACTTCGGAGACACCACAATTTGGGGCGCTGACACGGTGGAGGGGGGTTCTGCTGTCTGTAAATGTCTGCAGGCACCCAGCGATTGTCAAAAAATGGATCCAAAGCCAGGGAGGCAGGGCAGCCTCGGCTGGCCTGGCTTCCCTCTCCCAGGCCACTGTGCCTCATTCCTCTCTGACTCCTGGGTTGTTTTCTTTTCTGTGGTCTCACTGGGACACACACAGCCCACGTGAGAAGGCAGGACTCCCTCGGGACACTGGGGCACCCAGGGGGCACCCTCTCGCTGGGTGTCTGTATCTACAGGGCTGCACCTGGTAACGCCTGCAGCTGTGGCCATGAACGCTGCTTAGCCTCTCAGGGTACCTGTTCCCGGGGCAACCTGCAGAGGAGGGCACTGTCCTGGTCACAGATTGGAAAGCGGGTGTCACCACTAGGCAGAGCCACCTTTAGTGAGGTCTTCTGGCCGTGGGAAAATGGATGGGGCCGTGCTTTGGGTGAATGCCTGTTCCCCTCACGTGCCCACCCCCGGGCCCAGAGCAATGGAAGTCATGAGGGGCACCAGGGCCCCATGACAGGAATATCTGCAAGGTGTGGGGCACGGGGTCTGCCCCTCCACATAGTTGGGGTCTATGCTGGGGGAGGCTGGACGGGTGAGTCGCTCTCACAGTCACCCTGCCTTGGGACAGGTGGCCTTGTGCAGGACTGGGGCATGGAGCTCAGCGAGAGATACATTTTTGTAGCTTAGCAGCTACTCAGCCTGTGTTGTTTTGTCACAGCAGCAGAATCCATGGAGATACACGTGGTGTTGTGGAGGGCCGTGGCGGCTAGGGGCCATTATGCAGGGTCCTGTTTGGGCGGCGGGCCTGCCCACCCGGCCTGTCTCGTGTGTCCCACCTGAGACCCTTTATTACAGGGAAAGGTGCTTCCTCCACATCCCAGCTCTGGGAAGGACAGAGATCAGGGCTCCTGTTCTGGGCAGAGCTGCGACAGGTCAGCAGAATGGTCAGCTAATGCTGCTGAGGGCTGAGAGTCCCTGTGGAAAGGGTGCTGGACCACTCGGCCTTTCCAAACCTCCGCTGCCCCATCCCGTGTCTCTGGATCACTGCTGGCTGCCCAGGGTGGGCTTCCCTGCCCCACATGCTGGAAGGGCATCTGCCAGGTGGACACTGTGTCCTCAGCCCCTGTCCTGGGCTGCTGCCAGTGGCCGCTCTGGGAGTGCAGGCCCTTGCTGGGCATGTGGGGAAAGGGACAGGATGCAGTGAAGAACTTGCTCATCTGACCCACGATGTTTTCCCTTCTTTAAAGCTGTCGTTTCCCCAGGGGAAACTTTATTTCTGCATGAATAAGATGTCATCTCTTAACGAACTGGAAGCAGAAAAGGAGGGATGGCTCTTTCCCCACCCCGTTCCTACGACAGAGGCGAGAAGGAGCTCACTGGCCTTTGACGGCCAGCATGGTCATCCTCCCTTGTCCCTGATATGTCCTCCCTGCCCTCTCGTCTGCTCCTTTGGCAGAATCGAGGCCTGGGTGGACACTCTGCTGTGCTCTGGAGCTGTGGCTGGGAACGTGGGTCCTTGGTGGAGCCAAGTGCCTGCTCTGGCCCCGCGGGAGACAAGAGCATATCAGTCTGTCTGTCTGTCCCGCGCAGGCACGGGAGCACTTAGAGGGCGCCTGCCGGCATGGATGACCGTGGAAATACAAGGGAGGAAGGCATGCAGGGTGGACTGGTGGCCTGCCCTCGCCACACTGGCCGTTGGTGGTCTCCAGCAAATAGCCCGGTTTCCTACCCCAGACTCTGCCCAGGAGGATTCCTTGCTAAATGACAGGAAGGTGGGTTCAGAGGACAGAGTGGTCCCCTGCACCATCCACTGCTCCCCAGCCCCGCCCCCTGCACTTGGGAAGGCTGTGGTGTCTCGAGTGGCCTCCTCCATGGTGGCACTAGTGTCTCTTTCGGGCCTGGGTTGAGGTAGCCAGGGCTTCATGACATCCCGCTGTCAGCAGGCAGCACCTGTTGGGAGGCTCCTGGATCATCCTATTTTTCTTCTTTTTTTCTGCTCCCTGTCCCCTCCCCAGGGTCCCTGGGAGAGAGGTCCACCATCCAGGCAGAGGAGCCCTAGGGGGAGAAGGTAGTGGTGGTTTCCGCCTCCGTGCTCATGGAGACACGGCGGGCATGCCGGCAGGAGGACCATTGTCGCAACCGCTCCTGGCTGAGGCAGCCCAGGTCCTTGAAGAGCTTGAAGAGGTCATTGCGGAACTTGACGCCGATGAAGGCGTACAGGAAGGGGTTGGCGCAGCAGCGGAGTGAGGCCAGGCTGTAGGTGACATCGTAGGCAATGTTGAGCTGCTTGCTGAGCTCACAGGTGACGTTGAAGCTGGCCACTGTCTGGGCCAGGACCACGCCATTATAGGGCAGCTGGAAGACCACAAAGACCACGACCACGGCGATGATGACCTTGATGGCCTTGTTGCGTTCAAAGTTGTGGGCCTGCAGCAGGGTGCGGATGATGACCAGGTAACAGAAGCTCATAGCCAGCAGGGGCAGCAGGAAGCCAAACAGCATCTGCGCCACCTGGATGAGGACCAGGGACTCTTCCTCCTTGGGCAGGAGGGAGCACCGCTGTGCCTGCTCGCCGCTGCCTCCGTGGAGGCCACTGTAGAGCATCTCCGGGATGGACAGCAGCGTGGCCACGGTCCAGATGCCCACGCAGGACAGCTTGCTGATGAGGAACACGCGGGCCCGGTGGCGGTGGGCGGACACCGCCTGCACGATGGCCACGTAGCGGTCGATGCTGATGCAGAGCAGCAGCAGCATGCCGCTGAAGAAGCTCATCTTGTAGAGGCTGAAGATGGCCTTGCACAGCCAGACCCCGAAGACCCAGGACTGGGCCGCACTGTAGGCCCAGAAGGGAAGGGTCAGCAGGAACAGCATGTCAGCCACGGCCAGGTTGAGCAGGTACACGTCGGTCATGGTCTTGAGCCGCTTGAAGTAGACGTAGGTCAGCACTACCAGGCTGTTGCCCAGCAGGCCCACGAAGCAGATGGCCGAGTACATGATCGGCAGGAACCAGGCCTTAAAGTTCCGGACGTCTTTCTTGAAGCACACAGTCTCGAACTGGGTGTAGTCCAAAGTGGTGTTGTCACCAATGTAGTCATCCGTGACCCCATCCTGGCACAGACACACCTGGGGGAAGACACGAGGGCCCAGGGCCCGGGTTAGCAGGGCAGATCCCAGTCTGGCCGCGGGTAGGCGGACAGTCCCTGCCATTGGCACCCCCTGGAGGAATCTGCTGGCAACGCACATTTTAAGGGGTCTGTATTTCCTCCAGTGTCTAGGGGACCCTTTGATTTGGAATCAGTTCTCCAACTTGACCACACATAAGCATTTCCTGGGGCACTGTGGACATGCGTATCCCATTGCCAATCAGTAACTGGAGTCTGATTTTGCTGACTGTTGGCTGCCTAGGAGCTGATGGGGAACTGGATGTGGTCTCAGCCTTGGGCCCAAGGAGCTGGGCCTGGTTGGATACAAGTCCTGTCCCTAAGCCTCGGTTTTCTCATCTGTGAGATGGACAACCCTATATTCTTATGTCCCCCATACGGTAGTTGTGAGGTCTCCCCCTTCTCCTCCTGGTTTCCTTTCACATCCACAGGGTTTTCTTTCACCCATGGGAACCCCATGAGGTCAAGGATGTGATTCCTTCTCTTGGAGCCCCCTGCGGGCACAAAATACCCCAAATCCCACCCCAGGGTCAAGGCTGGGCAACCTGTGGCAGGAGGAAGTCCCAAGACTCAGCGGTCATGGCGTGAGCAGTGGGGGGCCTTGAGGGGTCCCTGGCTCCTGTGGGAACTCAGCAGAGCATGTGCCAGTGGTCCAACTCTGCGTGGAGTTCTGGGTGACCAGGCCCAGGGTGACAGAGCTGTGCCCTAATCCTCAGTGGCCTCCGGTTCCGCAGATCCTGGCAGATCCTGCCCGCAGTGCTCTTTAGTCGTTTGGGGTGAAGGCTCAGCTGCCTGCTGTGATTTATCAATCAAGGAGGAGCCCAGGCGATGGCCTGCCGGGCTCTGCTCAGGTTGGGGACCGACCCTTAGCAGCTCAGCAGCAAATCTGAGTTCTGCACTCCTCACTGTCCTGCCTGGGGATGGAGGAGGGGAGGAGGGCGCCCGGAGCCTTTGCCCTCTCCAGGACATGGCTGCCTTTGAGGTGGGGTGCTCTTAGCCCCCCTCCCCGTGGGAAGCCCAGGGTTTAAGTCTGAGCTCCCTGGACTCAAGGTCTGGTGAGGGGGCCTCCCTGGAGGGGCCAGGACCCCAGCCTCTGGGAAGTGTGCCCTGCCCACCCCTTCTCTCCCCACACCTCCAGCACCCCCAGCCTCACCGCCTCTGCAGCCCACAGCCCCACCACATCCTGCTCTGTCTGTCTGCACTCCCCCCCCAGGAAAAGAGAAGAATGAGCCCCAGCTGTCTCCATCCTGCCCGGGCCTCCTTGGGCTGAGCCCAGCCTCTCCCAGAGTCTCAGCCTCGCTGGCTGCTGGCGGGCAGGGAGGGGGCGTCAAAGGGAAAGGGGCCAGGTCTGGGGCTGCAGCCCAAGCTCCGGGGGGGCCCGGGGATGGGGTTCTGGGAGCGCTGCCTGGCTCGGGCCCTGCCTCTGGCCAGAGCTCCTGGAACAATGCCTGTCTGGCCATCAGACCTGGGAAAGAGCCCAGTTCCGAGGCTGCTCCCCACCCTGAAGAGCTCCCACCCAACTGACAGAGGAAACCCGATCCCAGAGTTACGGTTTCCTCTGCTCTGTTCTTGGCAACCCAGCCTTCTTTGCCTCACTGCTGGGATCGAGGAATAGAAATGAGTGTGCATGCATGTGCTTGTGTGTGTGCATGGGCGTGTGCCTGCTGAGGCCCCAAGGCACGACCCTCATCTGGCTGGGAGACCAGATGAGCCCCGGTGTCCCCAAGGCAGTGCAGCTGAGTGGAGCCTTTGGTTACAGGCAGAGTGGGAGACAGCTTTGGGTGACATGAGAGAAGCAGGGGCCCAGAAGGGGGTTCCTGTTCTCCACTCACATGTAGCATTTTATATACACGGGTGTGTGTGTGGAAGTACAAAACCAGGTCCCTGCACTGTTTGCAGCTTTCCTCTCCCTGGCGCTCAAAGGCCCCATGCCTGGGGGTTCTGGAGGGGGGCTGCTGAGTGCTCTGATTTGAGTGCAGAGAACATCTGTGACTCCCCACGTTACCCACAGATGGAGAGAGGCGGCCACTGGCTGATCAGAAGGCAGGTGGGCTTGGACCTAGGCCTCTGCTTCCCACCGCATGCCCAGCTCCCCCACCCTCCCTGGCTGGCTAGGGACAGGGTGGCCAAAAGACCCCAGCCCCCGGTGGGAAGCCTCACCTGGACCAGGAGAAGCAGGGCCATCACCAGCAGGCTCCTCATTGGTTTCCCTGGAGGAGAGAAGCGGGGAGGTTACTGCCTGGCCAGGACAGCACTGTATTATTAATGAGCAGCAGGGTGGGGTAGGGGCTCCCTTCGGGGAACCCCTCACCCCAGCTCCAGGACATCGGCATCATGAACACCTGGCCTCAGCCCCGTGTCCCTGTCCCCCTTTCCTTCCACCCCAGCCTGGCCCTGGCCCCTGAGACTGTGGGCTCCAATTCAGGGGGTGAAGAAGAGGTGTGATCCTGGGTTGGGGGTTACCGAGAAGACTGATTACTCTGTTTTCCACAATGTCGGTGTTCTGGGGACACTGGTGGACACTCAGGTCCAGGGGTGTGGGACGCCCTCCGTCCAAGGGAACTGAGTGACCACCTTGTGGCCCCTTCCTATCTCCTGGTTCTCAGGGCCCAGCTAGGCCCTGGACCCTAGGGGCATGAGTCTCTGAGCTGCCACTCACGAGTGCCATGGCGGGACCTGCCAGCTGTCATAGCTGCAGGGCTGGCCTCACTCCTGGGCTGGCCCTCTGGCTGGGCAGCCATCGTTCCTGTCCTTGGCGACAGCGCCACCTGCTGGAGCTCTGGGCACATGACGCACGGGTTGCCTGAAGCTCCCGTGCAGGACGGGAGGCTGGGGGTGTGGGCTTGCGGGTTCCCAGGGGAGGCAGGAAGAGCATCAGGCCCCTTGGGTCAACAGACCTTTCTGCCACCGCCTCCAGCAGATCATCCTGAGTACCACTGCCAGCGACGTCTTCCAGAGACGTCAGCGTGGTCCCAGCCCACACCACCGCTTCCCAAGCCCCCTGGCCAAGCTGAGCTGGGCCTCGCATGGCCATTGACCCTCCCCCCCCCACTCCTCCTTGTCCATCTGTTTCTGGGTACAGGCACCCCAGCCCCTGTGACCAGCCGCATGTGAGTCCTAGGCGCCCCTGCGGAGCTCGAGCCTGCTGGGCCATGCCTTCCGGCCCACATGTCATGGTAGGGTCCAGTGTCCCTCCCCCCCCCCTTCAGAGTTCGAGGTTTCTTTCAGCGTATCACTGTCTTCCGGTTACTCTAGAGAAAGCTCGCTCTGACTGTCAGGGAGCGGAGATATCAATGTCTGGATCAGTTTTAGTAGATGGGGTTCACAGAGCAGGTGCTGTTTCCATTTTACTCCGGGCTCCCCCCTCTCTGCTGCCGTGGGGGCAGGGCCCCTGGGTATACGCGTGTTGCGGGCGTGCGTGTGCATGCGCGTGCGTGGTTTCTCATTCCTGGCGATGCACTTGGGGCTGAGCGGGGCTCCAGAGGCCCACGACAGCCCGGTTTTGAGAAAGCTACCAGGGGAAGTTAGGGGAATTCTGGAGGCCAGGGGCCGTGAGTCAAATCGCTCCTGTCTGTTATGAACTCATAAAGCAACCGGTCCCGGGGAGCCGTCTGGGTTGGAACCTGCACTCGGGAATCTCGGGGTTGGAGGAGTGGTTGACCTAGAGACGCTGGGTATTTTCAGAGTTCTGGAATTTTCTGCAGTGATAGTCATGCGAAGAAAACTCCCCCGACTCCTGTCTGGTCCCTGGCCTGAGAGACCTCCTGGTTGAAAGCAGGGGACCTGGGCTGGCCATGCCAGCCTCCCCGCCTTTTTGAGACAGGGTCTCCCTCAGTTATTGAGTTGCCCCGGCTGGGCTTGACCTTTCCATCTTCCTGCCTCAGCCTCCCTGAATGTTGGGCTCACAGACATGTTCCACCCTGGCTGACTTTCTGCCTGGGTTTTTGCTGAGGTAACCTTGCTCTTTTGATGGCAGGGACAGGAGAGAGCTGGAACCACCCTGGAGTCGCTGGGGTGTCAGTACTTCATCCAGTAAGAGCCAAGCCCTGGGTACTTCACTGCCTTCCCCAGAGGGATCTCACTTCCTTCTCACAGAGGCGGCACTGCACTCACTCCCACCTGCCAGTGGGGAAACCGAGTCACAGCAAAGTTAGTAACTTTCCCAGGATCGCCCAACAGCCATTAGTGGAGTTGGGCTTCGCCCCCCCCCCCCAACTCTGGAAACCATGTTCTCCTGTGCTTGGGCCCCTGGTTCTTCATGCATCTCTGGCTTCTGACATCTTGTGAGATGACACTGTGCGACTCTCATGCCATGTTCCAGAGCACAGCGGTCCAGAGAGGTGCAGCCAGTTGCCGGGGGTCACACAGCAGCTGGCGATGGATCCCAACTAGCGCACTCCCTTCGTAACTCACTGAAACGCCCCTCGTCTGTGTTCCCTTCCTCTTTGTGCCCTGCTCTGTGCTCACTGACGTCACATCTCACACTGTCCCAGCAGCTCACTGGTGCTCCTGTCCCGCCATCCCTGGACTCATCAGTCTCTGAATTCCCCAGTCAGTGACAGAGTGGCTGGAGGAGACCATGCAGTGATGAGGAGCCCACGTCCACGTCCACAGTGACCCCCGGGTACCCATTGGTCCCGGCTTCCTTAGTGCCCCCTGGGCCACCCCAGACTCTCACGTTTCTGGTGGGCCTGTGAGATGCCCGTGTCTCATGGGCTCCTCTGTGTTCTCTCTGCTTTTGAGATTTCTGAGGTCAGGGCTCCTCAGTTTGCTCATTCAAACCGGGAAAACAAGCGGCCTAGCCTGGGCCCAGCTCTCACTTTGTGTAATAGAAACTCTGCCTTCTCACCGCCCCAGCTCCCTGCTGCCGGGCGGCGGAAAACGGAGACTTCGCGGTCCACCCGTCCTCCCAACGGCCCCGTGGCCGTTTTGAGCAAAGAGACACACAGGGTTTGGCCAGTAGGGCTCCTGTGAGTTCAGGTGGTGACGCGAGCACCCCTCCCTCTAGGCCAGATGGCGCACTGCCTCTCTGTCTGTCTCTGGCACCCCCAGACTTAGTCTTGGGGGACACCTGGCAGAGTGCAAACCAATTGGCAGCTTCCTATTGTGTTAAGGGAGGTAGAGGGAGGCTGGAGCAGGGGGGTCTCTGGGTAGTAGGGGTGCCTTGGGCTTGTGGTCCCTGAGGTGGGTGGCAGCTTGTCTGGGAGAGGTTGAAAGAGGTTCTTTTTTGGGAGGGTGGTATTGGGTATTGGACTCAGGAACTCGGCACTGAGCTACACCTGCAGTCCTTATTTTATTTTATATTTTAAGAAAGGATCTGGTAAATGGCCCAGGCTGGGCTTGGGCTCCTCCTGCCTTAACCTCCCAGAGTATTAGAATCACAGGCGTGCCCATCAGGAGGAGGTTTTTCCAAGCTTAAAACTGACTTCATTCATTCATTCCACTTCCCGCTCACACCCCAAGGCAGGGGCTACCGAGAGGAGGGCCCTGGGCGCCCTCTATCCACCGCCAGCTTGGTGGGTGGAGGAGGCAGGGCTGAGGGTTGTGGTGTGGTGAGGTCGATTTGGACAGCGCGGGAACCTTCACTTTTTAAAGCCGCCCTCTTGTGGCTTTGAGGCCAGGCTGGCTGGCGGTGGAGCCCTCTAGGAACCTGGCCTGTGCCTGACTGGGTCAGATCTGCAGCCGAGATTGGCGGCTTGGGCATCTGGAGGACCTGCTCTGCCGACACCCCCACCCACCCCAGGGTGCCCCTCAAAGCGTCTGTGTCTCCACCGCAGCGCCTGCCTGGCTGGCCCTGCACTTGAAGAGGTGACTGCAAAAGCAGGTGCCACGGTGGTGGTGGAGAGGGCGAGGTGGCTGGCATCTGCGCCACGGCAGCTTCCTCCGTCTCCTTTTCCTCAAGCCCCACTTAGCCGGGACCAGGCGGGGTCATTCATTTGCCCTGCGCTTGACGCCCAGAGTCCTGGGGGCCTCACCCATCACCCCAAGCTGAGAACGGTTCCTCTGGGGCGCCCAGCATGGCCCCTGCTTGTCCCCCAGCCCCAGGTACCGACAACTGTCCCTCCCTGGATGACAAGGTGCCCCCGGCCCTTGCGCTGCTCCTTCTTGATGAGGCGCTTACTCACCCAGGTCCATGACACTGCTGAGGACTGTCACCACACAGGAAGGCTGTGCCCGCGTCCCAGCTCCCCATCTGGGGAGGAAGTGGCATGGAGCCCCTTTTAAGATGTGCTGCGAGCCACCTCCCCTGCCCCACCCACCCCCGCTCCGCCCCTGCCCCAGCCTCCGCCTCCGGGGACCTGGGGTATGAAAAAGTGATGGGTGCCGCTGGTCATAGGATCTTGAATCACCCGGTCATTTACATTCAAAAAGCCCCAGAGCCTAGGTGAGGGACGTCAGAGACCTGCCTCCCATCTTTCCCCATGTTTCGGGTGAAATTCTTTTGAGTTTCACTATCAGCTCAGCTGGTAGCCACTGTCCCAGCAGCTACCAAAGACCAGATGGCCAAGCCCGACAAGGGCCACCTGTCACCTGCAGAGTGAAAGCTGGAGTCTGGAGCCTGGTGGGGGGACTCAGCAGCCCTCTCCGGACTGCTTTCCCACAGGGACCTAACTGTGGAGTTATTTGTGATTTTTGTCTTTTTGAGGCAGGGTCTCAAACTTGTGGCCATCCTCCTGCCTCAGCCTCGCAGATGTGTGTGTCACCGTGTCCAGCGGTCTCTAAGTATCTGTCTTTAGAATCTGCCAGCCGCTCAGCAGTGGGGGTGGCCCTGCCTGCCACTCAGGTGGGGGTCAGTACTGTAGCCGGGCGGGGTGGGGGCTGCCCTTCTGGACCGAGATAATCAAACCTAGGTAAAAATGGTTGCCGTGGAAACCTACAGGCGTGAGCCCTGGCTGTACCCTTGTCCTGCCTGGTGTCGCTAACAGGCACGTTTTCCAAATTCCTTTTCCTCCAGCTTCCTGGTGGACCCAGCAGACGGAAGGGGCTGGTGGAGAAAGGGAGATACGAGAATGGGTCCTTTCCTGTGGCGTTTTCTTTGCTTTATTTTTTCTTACTTTCTTTTATTTTTATTTTCCTATAGTTATTGTTGCTTGCTTTTTCCAGATCCCTGTTATTTCAAAGAGAAAAGAAAAAGAGTAAGGAAAAAAAAACCAAACAAACAAAAAAACAAAACTAAGACTAAATTTCAACTCTGCTTTTAAAGGACAGCTTTGTGAGCCCTAATTCCCGTTCCCCAGGGCTCCCTGCTGAAGTGTGGAATTCAGCCACGGTTGCTTATTCGCTGAGTGGCACCATGTGGCCCCACCAGTGATTTCAGGACGTTTTCCTGCACCCCTAGCCTGCAATTCCGTGAGCGCGAGCCGTGGCCCCCATTCCTTCGGCCGCCCACAGCCCCTGTAACCACAGCTCTGCTTTCTGTTTCTACAGATTTGCCTAGGCTGGAGATTTCTTATAAATAGCAGCAGACCGCGTTTGGCCTTTGTGTCTGTTTGTTTTAATGAGCGTGTTTTCAAGGTTCACACACACTGCGTAGGAGGGGTCAGATCTTCATTTTTGAATGGTTGAGTAGCATTCCCTTGTGCATGTATGCCTCCTCTTATTCACTGTTTATCATTTGGGTGTTGAATCATTTCTGGTTTTGAGCTACTATGGATAACGCTGTGTTTGTGTGTAAGGATTTGTGTAGACATAGGCTTTTATTTCTCTTAGAGTGCCTTAGAGTGGAATTCTCTTTATGCCTTAGAGTGGAATTACTGGGTCTATGGTCATTGTAAGCTTAACTGTTTTGTTTGTTTGTTTTTGTTTCTGAGACAGAGTCTCTGTTTGTCACCCAGGTTGGCCTCAAACTCTGCAGTGATCCTCCTGCCTCAGCCTCCTGAGTGCTGGAATTACAGGTATGGGCCACCACGCCCAGCTTAACATTTTGAGGAATTACCTCACTGTGGTTTTCATACACATTTTCTAGATGATTACTGATATGGGCATCTTTTCCTGTCCTTCTTGACAATATACTTTCTCTGCAGGAATAAATATCTACTTGAATTCTTTGCCCATTTAAACATCGGGTGATTATTTTTTTATTGTTGAGTTGTCAGAATTCTCTATATATTGTTATATGAATATATGATCATATTGGATGTATATTTAGAAGTCGTTTCTCTTTAAAAGTGTGGATTCTCTCTAGTTTCTTGTTTGTGTCCTGGTGAAGAACCACGTTTTACAATCTGAGGTCTTTAGAGGTAAGTGGGGGCCAGCAGGAGAAACAGGAAGTGCCCTTCCGGTAGGCCTTCTTACCTTCCTGGGAGATAAGAAAAGCCAGCCCCCCCACACCCCAGCAACTGGCTGATTCAGAGGAGCACAGACTGAGTTGATAACAGCAACTGAGCTACAAAAACAACTTAACACTTACGGTTATATGATTGACTTTGCCGGCCTAAAGCTGGTCGGCTGAGCATCTATTTAGAGGCTAACAGTATGCAATATACCGTTTATGGGAGATTTCCTTCTGTCTTGTTTTTGAAATCCAATATTGTTCTCACTGTGTTTTGTTTTGCTCTGTTTGATTGTTTTGTTTTAATCAATGTTTTGTTTTGATTGGTTTTATTCTGTTCTGTTCTGTTTGATTTTATTATGTCTGATGGTTTGGGCAGCAATTTTGAGGATAACAGGAGGCATTATGGTGGCCATTCCTAAGTTCCTATTATCCTGTTTTGAAGTCCTGTAACACTTCCACTGTTTTGTTTTGATTGACTTTATTCTGTTTTATTTTGTTTGGTTTTATTCTCTTTAAAATAAAAATAATTTGAGGTCTAACTTATTTACTTTTCTTTTGTCCTGTAGGCTTCTGATATGACCTCTAAGGAAGTGTTGTCTAATTCAAGTTCACACTGATTTATTCTTATATTTTCTTCTTATAATTGTATAGTTTTAGCTCTTACATTTAGTTTCAAACCATCTTAAGCTATTTTATATGGTGTGATGAAGGGGTCACATTTATTCAGTTTTGATTGCTGATTCCTAGGATATAGAATATGGATTCCTAGTGTATAGTGATTGGTATTTGTACATTTATCTTGTAACTTGCAACCTGGGTGGATTCATTTATTGTTCTGATGGTATGCGTGTGTGTGCATGTGTGTGTGTATGTCAGAGAGAGATAGAGAGAGAGAGAGAGAGAGAGAGAGAGAGAGAGAGAGAGACAGAGAGATCTTTAGGATTTTCTGAACATAACCATTCCATTTGTGAGAGGAGGAAGTTTCCTTCTTCCTTTCCAAGTTGGGTATCTTTGGTGTCTCTTTCTTGTCCAGTGGCTCTAGCTGGAAGTTACAAGACAAGAGGTCCTGGTATTATTCCCATATTAGGGTAAAAGCAGTCAGGCTTTCACCCTGAAGTCTGTTGTTAGAGGCAAGCTTATCCTTGTTGGATTTGGTCAGAGTCTTATTCTGTGTCCTTGAGACAGTTTCATTCATATTCTCTCTCTCTCTCTTTCTCTGTCTCTCTGTTTTTGAGACCAAGTCTTGCTGTGCAGCCCTGTGGCAATCTTCCCGCCTCAGCGGAAAGTACTGGATTACAGCCATAGGCCACCATGCCCAGAGACAGGTTTTCAACTTTTATCATACTAACCATGTTGTATTACATGAATTATGGATTCGTAACTTGAAACAGCCTTGAATTCCCGGTACAAACTGCATAGTTGTAGTATATAATATTCTAAAGTATGTTTCTGGATTTGGTTGTTAATAGTTTGTTGATGAATTATGTACATATATTTGTAGGGATTAGGGGCTGGGGATTTAGCTCAGTGGCATAAGTGCCTGCCTTGCAAGCAGGCAGTCCAGAGTTCGATCCCCGGTACCGATAAAAACGAAAAAGACCAAAAAAAAAAAAAAAAAAAAAAAAAATTGGTCACATATATTTGTAGGGATTATGGATCTTTTTATTTTTACTTTTCTTGTAATATCTTTGTGTGGCTTTGGTAGCAGGCTAAACTGGTTAAATGTCAGTTTTATTAAACTTACTAAAATAGTAACATTTGGTTTTCTTAATTTTCTCTACTTTGAAATTCTGTATTTTAAAATTTCCATTTAGTCCTTATTATTTTCTTCTTTCTGTTTGATTTAGTTCACTTTTTTCTTAAGATGAAAGACTAAGCTCTCTACGTGGTATGTTTCTTTTTACAAATTCAGGTGTTTATTGCTGGTAAATTCTCTACAAGCACTGTGCTAGCTGTATCCCACAGCTCCTGGTATGATGGGTTTGTGTTTTCAGTCATCTCAATGTTTTCTGTGATTTCTCTTCTGAGTTCTCTTTTGATCCATTCATTATCTAGGAGTGTCTTATTTATCTCCGGGTTATCAGGGGAATGTTCTGCAGATCTGCTAGGTCTGGCTGGCTCATGGCGGTGTTGAGACCTCTTGTTTCCCTGCTGATCTGCGGCTTGGTAGTTGTGTCTATTTTAGGAGTCAGGCACAGAGGTCTCTGACAGTCACTGGTTAAGCTGTGCGTTTTTCCCTTCAGCTCCTCCTGTGTCTGGGGCTCTGCAGCTCAGGTGCGCATGTGTTTGCAGTTGTGATGCCCTAGGTCTTCCTCTTACCATTATAAAATGTCCCTCTTTGTCTCCATAAGCGATTTCTGTCTATCGGTCTATGATGTGTATCAGGATAGCTATCCCAGCTCTGTCCTGGGCACTTGTTAGATGCTAGATGATTTATCTCCATCACAAGCATGTTTCTTTGTGGCACCTATTCCGGCAGCGGGCACACATCTTGGGTTCACCAGCCAAGCCCGTTCTGTGGTGCTCCACCATGACCCTGGCTCCTGCCCCAGTGCTGGGGCTGTGGTAGCATCACTTTTCCCTGTGTCCCTCCAGCTTTAGAGACAGTGGCAACTTCCCTGTCCTTCACTTTTGACAGCCTTGCCATCTTTTGCTTGGCCTCAGACTGCTGTCTGGTCCCTTCCATTAAGTTCCTTCTATGTGTAGTGTAGAGAGTGGCTCTGGTTCATGTGGCCCTAACCCATGCCAGGTGATTCCTGCTCCCGGGGAGCTTGCGTTCTAGGAGTTAAGGTTAGATTACACCACCATCGTCTGCAGCTATGACAAACAGGACACAGGACTAATGGAGGAAGGACACACAAGTGGCACAGGCCCAGGAGGGAGGCAGATGGGCAGGCAGGAGAGTGTCTC